TATATATATACAGCTGTGATGAGAATTAAATTAATTTTGTGCTATTTAAATATATGGAGCAATGTATTTTTTGTGTGTGTAATCTCTGTTTTGTCATCTTTATTTTAGTTATACAATGCCATTGACTTAATTGTAGCAGATTACAAATCAGTTGTCAGCAAACAACAGATTGGTACCTCATATGAAGGACGTCCCATCTATGTTCTTAAGGTGACTCTGTTAGTAATGTTTGCAATATAGTATGAGATAGAAATAATATTTAATTTTTTCAGCTGACAAAAGTTTTCTACAGCTGAAGTTCACTTAGGCTGCACGTAGTACAAGTTTAATAGCAAAGGACACAACATAATTATATTTTCTAGGGAACAAAAACATTTTTGACCTCCAAATTGCCAACATATTTGTTTAGTCAGTTAAAATATAGCAGCCATGCCTTCATTTACATTTTGTGCATTATTAAAGTAACTATATTTACAACTGCAGTGCAAAAGAAATGTTACAATTAAAATGTTTGCCGCAAATATAAAAATGTTTACTTTCAAGACAAACATTTTTATTTTTCAGTTTTATATTTGTTAATGCAAGTCCAGCTTTGTATTAAGAATTGAAATTGCAGAATGTACACAGTGAGATCTAACACAACTTAAATATTCATCACATGACCCTATTGATAGGTTATAAAAATTATTGAAATACAATAATCTGCTTATAGTTCAGCACTGGAGCTGACCGCCCTGGCATTTGGATAGATGCTGGTATTCATTCACGTGAATGGGTTACTCAAGCTACTGCCCTGTGGACTGCACATCAGGTAACTGAAATCTACATGATAAAGGGTAAAACATATTGGTGTACTGCACATAATCCATCAACTGAGAGATCCCTAACCATACCATTTCTATGAACCTCATGTTTATTGACATATGTAAACCTTAAAGCCAATCTCCAGACAGATATGAACAACACAAATTAATGAAGCTCTGTATTTGTTAATAAATCATTAAATGTCCTTTTGTAAATGCAAGCAGTGTAAATACCTGAACTTAGTTCAGACCAAGGGAACAAAAAACAGCACAAAGAGCCATGAGAGAGCAGAGTAACATCTGAGAGATGAGCCCATAAGTCTGCTGTTTTTCCTTTAGTTGTCCAGTAACAGGATGGGGGTGAGGAGAAGACCTGTAAGAGAGTGAAACTGCTGCAAATAAAAATTAGGTCTCCTACCATGCCAGACAGGGCTGTGCTGTGTGTGCAAATCATTTGGCAGGTAAAACATCTCCCATTTATATATTTCATACATGTGTTTAGCTGTTTGTCTAGATTTTAACTTTAAGAGTAGTTGACTACCTCAAACTGGCTGTTAATTAATCAAATATATCATTTAGATATAAGAAATATTGCATGAATGTTCCTCTAAGAAAAAAAAAAACTTTTCTCTAGCTGTTCTGTTCTATTCAAGATACCAACATGCTTCAAGTATGGAACATTTTATGAAAGGTGAGAATGTGGTAAAAAAAAAGAAATAATCAAAATACACAAGGAAAACAGGGTTTCTCCACAACAACTCTAAAGTAGGGTATACATGGTTAGAATTTAAAGAATTCATTTTCAGAACGCTCATTCGAATATCTATCAATTAGTATAGTGCGATTGACAGAAGAAAATTACAGTGTTCCTGAAAAATTTCAAAAGAGAATGTTGAAAAATGTTACTCCGTTGAACGAATTTCTAACAGTGAATGTGTTTTTCATTTGAAAACTCCATTTATTCCAAAATAGAATGTTAAATAAAAGTGAAAACTAAATTAAATTTTGAATGGCAATCAGCAAGTTTCTGATGCCAGTATCGAACGTTTCAACGGGATTTTTCATATATGAACATTCGTGCAAAAATCTATCCATTTAATACCCTACTTTATAAAAACCTTTACAGTTCATACATTGATATTGATTAAAATTTGTTAAGTTCTGCCTTTTTCCGTTTTTCTAACCTTCCTAGTGCTGCAACCAACAGGTAGCACAATAGGAAAAGGATGTAAAGGAAATCAAAATACATTTTCTTAGAACAGGATGTAAGAAAGGCTACAGCTAGTAACTCCCTGCCAACACTCATTTGTTTTAAAAGCATATTTATTTACAACAACATCTGTGTTTTTTTATTTTTAAAGCTTGCTTTTGACTATGGAAAGGACACATCTGTGACCTCTTTGTTGAATAAATATGATGTTTTCCTCTTGGTTGTCACCAATCCTGATGGCTATGCCTACTCTCACACAGCAGTAAGTATCTAGCCTTAATGGTATTTCCCATGTGGTACCAGTTTCAAACCAATATAGTAATAACTCATTTGTCTAATGATTCAAATTTAAGGGTGATAGGAGAATAAAATATAAAACAATGTTATTAATGTTGTAACAGTCCAAACATCCAGGTAGTATACTTCAGTGAGATACATTGAGACTGCTTTCCCTAGTTGCTATTTTAAGGAATATAAAAGGACATGAGGAACTTTTCTAGGAATAGTGATATTGCAGGTTAGACTGACAGAGTAGAAATGTTAATGTGGAATTGAAGTTAACGATTGTTTCAAGTTTATTCTATAAGCCATACCTTTATTTGGAACCCAACTTCCCATTATTCCAAATGCCCATATTTATTTATTTAGGTACAGTATGGGGTTGATTTACTAACCTTATAAACACACCACGAACATGTATACACCTCTGTAGTGTGTTCCCTCCCAGCATGATCTATGGGTGGAATCTAAACACCTTTGTAGTGTGTACACACCCAGCAGGTGTGTTGTGCAAAGCCCTGCATGAATTTGCAAGGTGATGTTGTGTAAATTAGCTCTATGTTGTGTTGCTTGCGTTGATGAATGCAGGAATGTAAATGCATAAGCTAACCATTTTTGTCTAAACTGTGAAGCAGCATTATATATGCATCATGTGCATGATTTTTCCATATATGGCATTAGTGGAAATATGCTTTTAGAGGCTTTTTGGTTGATAAATACGTTTTGCTGTGTAAAAATCACATGCACCTAGTGCGTGCGTGTGTTTAGGTTAGTAAATCACCCCCTATGTGTCTATTCGTTGAACTTGATTTGTGTTTTTTCAACCTGACTAACTATGTAACTTTTTTGCTATGGTGGTATAATTGTTGAAATGATACCTTTGCTTTAATGGTAAACTATAATGATTTGGTCTAGTTTTCTATTTTTTTTTAATTTAAGAGAGATTTGCTGGCTTACTATATGTGCATATAACCATTTAAAAAAAACAACACATTTTTTTAAAGCACTAGCTAAAGATAAAGTGCAAGAGCCTGCCTCGGGGGTGGCATTGCCTCATTAAAACTGCAGACAGAACTGGTTCATAGGAGATAAGTCACTCTGATCAGTACTGTATACACTTCTGTGTGTATTCTGCAGCTTCAGCTACAGACCTTTGTAAACAACAAGATTTTACAATAAAATGGTAAGCTGCTTCAGGAGGACATGTGAAAAGGAGATTAGAGATCCACCTGATGACTAAAAATAATACAGCATATTAATATGCAATATTTATTTTACCAATATTTATTTATTATTTTTAGAACCGTATGTGGCGTAAAACCCGTTCCATCAAAAGCGGTAGCCGATGTGTTGGTGTTGACCCCAACAGAAACTGGAATGCAGGCTTTGGAGGTAATCATGGATTATATTCACTGTTTTAACTCCCCCCCCACCCCCTTCAATATCATCTTAAACTGCTAAAAGATAGCTTTCAAAAATTGTTATGGGTGTTATCAGTCTGTTGTCTATTCTAGTGGTTTAATATTTTAGAAAGGCAAAAGTCAATCAGAACAGAAGAGTGTGACATATTACTTAATATGGGGTCTAAATTCTCAAACACACTAGTCAATATGTTCAAAGAACCATAATGTAAGTTTTATGTATGTTGAAGAATTATAACGGAAATATAGCTAATAACACAAGTTGCATTGTATGATTTTTACAAAAGTTTCAAATGACCAACAAGTAAAAGTTTTAACTCTGTAAAATCCTAAGTCCCCAACCAACAATATGCATTTCAGATCTAAAGCAGGAAAAAAATGTTTTTTGCAGTCAGTCACACTGAATTGTTTGATAACCAACTCCTAATTAGCAATGTGTAGTCTGGAAATTCAAACCTGCCGCAATTTAGAAATACGTATTCATTTTTTTATGTAGGGCCAGGAGCCAGTGCTGACCCCTGTTCTGATTCATACCGTGGACCCAGTGCAGAATCAGAGGTGGAGGTAAAGACAGTTGCCAACTTTATTAGAAGTCATGGCAAAATCAAAGGATTTGTGAGCATCCACAGCTACTCTCAACTCCTGCTTTTCCCTTATGGATACAAGTGCACCAACCCTGCTCACTACACTGAGCTGGTAAGTTTGTCCAAGAATACGATTCAAAACACATAAAGTTCTCTTTATAAACAATTTGTAGAACAATTCGCCCCGGCAAAACTCTGAGCATTCATTCTGTGCAAATAGAGGCAAAAACATACGTTCTCAGTATATTTTCTTTTCAGGTTCCAAGTAACGTTTGGAAAAGATCGCATTATGGCCACTAGAGCTGGGGAACATAGGAAATCAATACTTATTACCTAAGCTTTACAGCGCCATATAGTGTCCATTATGCAGTATTACATTACATCGTACTGGAATGAAATTATACCAACAGATCTATTCACTAAAGGGTGAAGAGTTTGGAGAACTCAGGAGAAGTGTACACTCTAGGACAACATAGCTGAACTAGAAAGTGAGCTGAATTGGAGAATTTTCTAAATTAGTTATTTTGTCCTAGATTGTTCACTTCTCCTACCTTCTCTCAACTCTTCATCCTTTAGTGAATAGACCTGTAAATAAAAAAATATATAATATGCCATTTGCTTTGCCTCTTTTCACTCAGAACAAATGTTCAGAGATTTACAGAGCGAATGGATCTGCAAAGTGTTTATAAATACACCCAATAATAACATTTTACTATATAGCAAGCAATCATACCAGTCAGTACTCTTAACTTGTGCACAGAAAGCTGACTATATTTATTAAATATATGCTTAAGCAGTCTTTGGATACTAGGATAATAAAATACTGGCTAGTTCTATAAATGATGACAATACAGCTGACCCAACTTTTCCTGTTCTTTCTCGTGCATTTCTTATGCATGAGAAACAGTCACCATTTTAAGTCATATTGGGTCATAATAGGGCCTGTTTTCCAACATCGTATGAGTGAACTAGTAATAGGCTTAACATGAACTTTCAGACAAATCTGAACAAATTTGTTATTGTTAAAGGGTTAGAACATCTGTTAGGTTTTTATTTCTTTTTCTTCACTGGGGAGAATTATCCTCACTTCCTGTCATTTGCATTGGACAGATAACGATAAAAATTTACTCTGGTTTCCTTCCACACTCCAAAGACATGCTGGAAGGGTACATGGCTCCTATCTAAACCGGCCCTATATGTGTGTGAGCTAGAGACCTTAGATTGTCATCTCCTTGTGGGCAGGGACTGATGTGAATGTGCAGTATATAAAATTGCTGTGTAAATTGTTGGCGATATATAAATAACTGTCATAAATAAAATATGCATTAACTGAAATGTTTTGCATCTCTTAAAAATCTGACAAGGTGGACTGAATGACTGCTACAGCCTGTATGAATGTTAACTTATGGAATGTTTAAAAAACTTTAACTCAGTATGTTTTACTTTTTGCAGAACACAGTTGGTAAAGCTGCTGCTAGTGCATTGAGCGCTCTCTATGGCACCCAGTACACAGTTGGAACAATCTGCTCCACTATCTGTAAGTAAAATTACTTTACCCATCTGTACACCTTTTGGACACAAGGCATCAATATAACTGAATTCAATAATTTCTCTGGCTGCCAGTGTGTGTTACTTTCACACTAATAATGCCACCATGAAGAAATGCTACTTTGGAAGATAAAAACCAAACAATAGCAAATTGTAAAATTGAATTAGCTATTTTTGACACCAAACTCAGGAGTTAAATCTTAAAAATTCATTCAAGTACCTTGTCACATTAAACCTTTAACTATTTTTTATCCATGCGCATAGGGGGCCCACGTTAAAAGCATATCCTTTGTTCTTTTTAAAAAAATGTTTTTAATTCCTCTTTTTCTGGTGGGTCTCCGCAGCGCTCTCCCCCCACCCCCTGCACAGGTGCCGCCATCAGCTAAGCGGCTGCTGTAGAGGCACCCATGGGTGGGTGTTCCCGGCCGTGCCTGCAGTAGTTGTGTGCATCCATAGATACACACAGCCCTATAGCAGGCCACGTCCCCCCTCTCTGCCCAACAGGTTGATTGATGGCAGTACGACCCAGTATTCTCCCCCGCAACCAGGAAATTCGGGAACAAATGATTGGTTCGGGGATCGGCTGTGGTGGCAAGCGGCACTGACAGGTAGGTGTGGGGGGGATGGGGGACACATAAAGGTACTGGCCCATTTTTACCTTAATGCAGTGAATGGATTAAGGTAAAAAAAATGCCCTGCCTTCAGTAATATTTTAACTATTAACAAAAATGTATCTTATTTGTGTATCACTCGGCTGTAGATCCTCAAAAGGACAGCACCAATTTAATCTCTTTTGTTCCCTATGGTCCCTGTGTGTGTTGTAAAGTAGCCACCACTCCAACCTTGCTGCTGTGATGGACTACAATCTCAGTTTAGTTTACTCATTTATATTGAGATTGTAGTACATAATGGGAGTGATCGTGGAGTGTTGGCTACTTTACAACACACACAGGCAGCATTGGGAACAAAAGTAGCCGCCCTGCAAAAGGAAGGACAGTGTCAGCACCAATTCAGAGATGATTGGAGGATCTACAGCTCAGTGATACACAAATAAGATACATTTGTATTGATAGGTAAGTTACTTAAATGCATTTTTAAGATTTAACTCCTGAGTTTAGTGTCACTTTACGCTATGGGTTTCAGAACTGTGAAAAAAAATACTTGTGCAATTTAACCCATAGAAAGCACAGATAAACTTTCAATAGTCTATCTCCAACAAGCTGGCACAACCTCCGATTGATCGCACTGGATGTCGGCAGACATTAAATTTCAATGCTGGTGCTTGTGCTGAAAAATTACATTTAATAATGTTTATACTTTCCTTTTCAGATGCATTTAGTATCTGGACTCTACAATTTTAGACAATGAAAGTATAGCTGAACCCCAGAACAAAATATAATATATTGCAGCTTATAAGTTCTTAGATGTGGTGGCAGCATTAGTTTTCAGTTTTAGGCTAAGTACATTTTCTGCAAGAACAGAAAAATACCGGTTGATCCTGTCAGAAATTTGTCCTTTTAACTTCCTGCGAACTGAACTGAAACCCCAAACAGTGTTATCAGCTTTTCCAGCTATTTTCCAAGCAATTTTTTACCTACAGTGAACTACATAGCAGATCACCTCAATGTAATGGAGATGAGAAGAAGGTACAGAAAAGGAGAGCTGCCTAGGATGACAACGCTGCTCCTCCATAGATGCAGTGCATTGAATGAACCTTGTCACCATAGGAGAGGAAGTGTATTACTGGTGGGATCACCAGGTGACAATAAAGAGAAAAAAGGGAAATTAATATATCCATCACTTCTAAGGACTGATAGGCTGCATTAGATTTACGTTTTGTTTTTGGGTTTATATATACTTTAATACATCGTTGTAAAAACTTATGTCAAATCTAAGGCAAGTCAGAATATAAACTGATAATGCTGCTTGGCATGAATGCTCTTAGTAAGTAACAAAATCACATTTGTGATTGACCCCAAAATATAAAACTTGATTGGATGAACTAGTTTTCTTTCATATCACAATGTGCTGCAATTTTACAGAGGTCATCTAAATGTATTTTCTCAATATATACGTTATCAAAATAAGAATACATATTATTAATAATTATGATTAATATTATTATTATGAATAACTAATAATAGAGCGCAAACAAGTAAAAGCTGGTCTGTGATTGGTTGGCTTAGAACACACCTCAACTTTTTGTACTATTTTATTAAATATGCCCTTATGGGCTTCCTTGATGTATGAGTATGTTGAGAGTAACAAAACTAATTTTGCTCTGATATTTACTCTTTCTTCAGATCAAGCTAGTGGAGGAAGTATTGACTGGACCTATGATATTGGAATTAAGTATTCATTTGCCTTTGAGCTGAGAGACACAGGACGCTATGGCTTCTTACTTCCAGCTACTCAGATCCTGCCAACTGCACAAGAGACCTGGCTGGGTATTAAGAAGATCCTGGAGCATGTTCGTGATAACCCTTATTAAACAAGGCACAGTTGTACAAGGTGCTTGTCACATTATTTAGTGAAGTAGTAATAAAGTTTATGGATGGCATTTCTCTAGATACAAGACACTGCTGTCTGTATTTTGTCTTTGATTTTTTCTTTAATATATAAATGCTTCAACTTTATGCATATTATGGCAATAAATTAAATGTGTACTTCAAATAAACCTTAAAGCCGAGCTGCAGGAAAATATAAAAAAAAACAATGAATGCAGTTATGTATTTTATAATCATTAAATGTATTTTAAATGTAACTATTGTAAATGTCTGAATTAGACTTGAATTTAGTCACTTGGAATCCTTTAACCACTTGATGCCCGGAGCAATTTCTTACATTTGCACACAAATTATACAATCTGAATTTTTGACTAGAAAATAGCTTAAAACCCCCAAACAATGATATATTTTCTTTAAAAAGATGCCCTGTAAAAAAAAAAAATGCTAGTTGCAATTTTTTATGTTGCACGGTATTAGCGCAAATGTTTATCAAACTAGTATTTTTAGTATAAAATACACTAAAATGAAATGTGGTGCACAGAAACAGAATATAATACCAAATGTTTGGGTAAAATATAAAATATGGGGTCACATGGGGTAAATTGATACCAAACATGTAAAGCCCTAAAATTGTGTGCTCATGTGAAACCGCAAAAAACTACAATACCCAAAACAGTGATTGATGGCCCTAGAATTATTGCTTTCACTCAGACGATTGCGGCGATATGTAACATGTGTGGGGCAATTTTTGATTTTGCATGTAGGGGGATTTGACGCATGTTTGTGTTGTATGTGAATGCACGTGGGAGGCGGAGGACTTAAAACATTTTTTTGCATCTTTATTTTTTTTTTAAATGTTACTTTCATTTTTTTTTTTTTTTTATACTTTCAATTTTATTGCTATCAGATAGGGGGCTAACAAGCTGGAGAATGTAAACAGTGACACCGCAAGTGATGTAATACATCGGGTCCAGTGATTGGAGGAGAAATCAGCGGGTAGAAGCCTGCTGATCTCCCTCCAATCTGTCAGGGGAGACCCGTCTTGCCGGTCCCAGGACCACACAGTGCCACTCGGTACAAACGATCCGGCAGCTGTACAGCCGCCAGATCGCTTGTACATAAACAGCAATCGATGTAACAGGCTTACCTGACCCTCGGGTTCCATCGCCGCTCAGAGCGCCGTCGGAGATCGGTGACGTCACAAGACTCCTCCCCCTCTCCCTAGTTAAGGCTGGACGGTTACACTTTTCTGGCGTTCGAGCAAGTGTGCAGACGCCAGGCAAGTTCCCCGCCTGTCTACATACAAACCCCACTGCTATTTGGGCCGGTCAGAGCCCCCTCTCAACTGCCATCCGAGCCTGCATACCCAGGCCTCCTCGAGTCATTGGGAAAGATTGCTACCTCCTCAACCAACCCTGCTTCCAGCACTTAGAACCAGTTACCTGAACTGGGGCTGCAATTCCCCTGAGACTCCACCGGAGGGCACCAACTCCAATCCTGCAATCCTCTCCACAAACAGCAAGTACTTTCTAATTGACTGTCACATAACATAGACTGAGGGGTCTATTCACAAAGCTGCCGAAGGATCTAGCCGTAGCTTCGGCCGATCCTTCGGCTAGCTTCGGTTACGGGAGTCCATCGGTTAATTCGAACCAAGAGCCTGCTGTACGGGCTATTCACAATAGCCCATACAGCTCCCGACCATGGCCGAGTGGCTCAGCCGAGCCGAACGCATATGCATCGGCTCGGCTGAGCCGTGCTAAAAGCCGAAG